AAGCAAACTGTGGTACAAACACACAATGGAATATTATGCTACCTTGAAGAATAACAAGGAAGCTGCAAGCCACTGCATAATATGGATGAACCTTGAGGACATTATGCTGAGTGAAATCAGTCACAAAAGGGCAAATATTATATAACACTATTATTGTAAAACCTTAAGAAAACTAAAAGGAAAAATAAATATTTGTTGGTTACCGGTGGGACTGGGATGGGGGAGTTTGGGGAGGTGGCGGGAGGTTTCAGGGGAGCACAGAGTAGGGGGCAGGCATTGGGGAGGGCGATACACAAGAAGGGGGAGGGTGTGAAAGAACAAGATAGATAGAGAAACACTGAGACATGTTTGCATGAGCTAAATGGGACAGAGGTAAACAGGGATGCATGCTCAACCTTAGAACAACAGGGCTCTGTGATACAGGGATCTAGGCATAATCTGAGGAGGGAAAATAAAAGTACAAAAAAAAAAAAAAAAAAGGCAATTCGGCAGCTTATATGGATAATGGTCTTTATTATACACTGTTCAAGAATAAACTTTAAATGTGCAGTCCTCATTTATTTTTCAAGTACTAAGGAGCTCTGGTAGAGTAGTGGTTACAAATTGGGCTGCGAACCGCAAGGTTAGCAGTTCGAAACTACCAGCTGCTCCGTGGGAGAAAGATGAGGCTTTCTGCTCCCGTAAAGATTTGCAGCCTCAGAAGCCCTGTTCAGGGTCGCTATGAGTCGGAACCGACTCGATGGCATTTAACAACAACAACAACAATATACTTGAGTCTTGGTGTGGCACTGTAGGATAAGAACTGTACTGCTAACCAAAGAGTTAGTGGTTCAAACCTACCAGCTGCTCCTCTAAAACCTTATGTAGGCTCACCATGAGTTGGAACCAACATGACAGCACGAACAACAAAAATAATATACTTGAAGTTCTGTTATTCTGAACTAAAGGAAGACTGTTGTTGTTAAGTGCCATCAGGGGGTCAAAGGAGTGGCTGATGGGTTTGAACAGGTCTAAATTATCTAACATACAAGACAGCTAGTGTTTCATAGTGATCTACTCCTATACAGGGTCACTATGGGTTGGAATCGACTCAATGGCACTTCACAACAACAACAACAATTTATATATACCAACTCCAGGTGTTGAGATGTAGGCTAGGCACTGAACTACAAACAACGTCAGAAGTTTAAACCTACCAGCCACTACTTGGAAACCATATACAGGGTGCTTATGAGTCGGAATTGACTCAATGGCATGTAACAACTTATATGTTGTTGTTGTTGTTATGTGCTGTGGAGTCAGTTCTGACTCATAGTGACCCTGTACAGGGTTTCCGAAGCTGCAAATCTTTACAGGAGCAGAGAGCCTCTTCTTTCTCCCATGGAACAGCTGGTAGCCCAATTCGTAACCAGTATGCAACCAGAGCTCCTTAACAACTTATATATACAGATGTTTATATATATTTCTGTGGCTTTAAAGAAAAAACAATATAATCAATAGAATATGCAAGGGAGTCACAGAGTTTAGTGCTATCTTCCTTTTGGTTATTTTGGTATGCTTTTAAAAACAGAATATATAAATCCATTGGCCACAGAGCAAAACCTATTTAATTAACAAGTACTGCTTTTAACTAACATAAAGCCATACATCTACTGGAGCAACTGAAAGTTAAAAATGTCCCCAAAGTAAATACTCTTTTTCTATTTGTGTTTGATGTATTAAACGTTATGAAAATTCCACTTCTCAAAGTTTACAAATTAGTCTAGATGTTTGGGTACAAAAGAACCAAAACAACAAGTTTAAATTAAAAAAATAATAACATTCATTACTATGCTTGCTTTAGTGTTCTGGTCTTAAATAGCCATACATAATTACAGTTATAATGAAAAAAATCAACAAGATACATCTTTTATGTTATATATTAAGCACCCTGCCTCCTGATTGATATGAATCAACTGGTTCCTTAAGGATCACCCCCCAAAATAGGTTTTGCTACCAATGATTAATATTTTGAGATTCTATTATCTCTGGCAGCGTAGTGGTTACGAATCGGGCTGCGAACCTTAAGGTCAGTGGTTCGAAACTACCAGCTGTTCCGCGGGAGAAAGATGAGGCTTTCTACTCCCGTAAAGATTTACAGGAAACCCTGTACAGGGTCGCTATGGGTCAGAACCAACTTGACGGCACGTAACAACAACATTACAATATTAAAATTATCTTCTGGGTAATATATACAAGTATTTCCTAGGGAGCATTTCTTTGCTTTTTCTTCCCTTCTTTTTAAATAAAGGACCATATCAAAAGTTAAACATTAAATGGAAATGCATTATTCTAAACAATCAGAACATAAGCAATGCCTAAATTTTGTTTTAAGAGTACACAAAGGTATTTATTCAGTTTCTCACTGGAAAAGCATTTCATAAACCAATTATCAATTATCTCAGAAAGAATCTGGGAAAATATTCATATCTATGCTGAGATCAAAGGTACAAATATTCTATCTGAAGTTTCAAATGTATCAGTAATTTATTCATTTTGGAAAAGGTATTAGGGAGAGAAGAACCAACCAACAAGTAGTATTAGCTTCTATTACAGTTTCTATTACAACCAAGGTTCCAGAAGCCTTTTGGCCATGTAATTTAGAACTTATCAAGCAGATCTAATATTTTGTACCTTATTACTTATAAGTAAAAAAAGCACTAAAGATCACTGAATAATTACAGTTAAGCAAAACTTTAGCAGGAAATATTTCTATACTATATTTTATATATCCTTATATGAAAGGAATTTAACCTTTTTTGAACCTTATTATTATTGTCAATGTGTTTATCCATAAAACCCCTATATATTGCTTTTAAATTGCAAGTTGAGACATCTCATAAATCATTGCCTCTTAAATCAGAGCCTCAAGATTATACTACAGAAAGTATGGAAAAGGGAAGTGGCATATATTTACTAAGTGTCCAGACCCCTTAAATCATTATTTCCTTAAATACATTATCTAATTCTCTTGAATTAGGAGGTAGGCATTTCCACCCCCATTTGATAGATGAGGAAGTCTGATTTAATGGTTTAGTGACTTTAGTTGCTGAAAAGCACCGTGGAGTTGGTTTTGACTCATGAGTCATAGTAACTCTATTTAGGTTTCCAAGAATAGCTGGTGGGTTTTAACTGCCAACCTCAGCTTACAGTGCCACATCAGGACTAGAAGCTAGGTAAGTGGACCTGCCAAGCATCAGCATCCATGCTTCCTACTGCAATGTGCCAATGTAAGAGTGCCAGTCATGTCACAGTGATTTCTGTCCAAGTAGGACCTTCAGATAAAGCTCTTCCTCCACTTTCATTTGGAATTTAATATTTTTCCATAATTAACAATGGAAGTAAACTGAATCATCATGAAACACACATGTACGCACATATATACACAGAGACTGTGTTATGTAACCTTTCAATGTGAAAGCATATAGCTGAAGTGTTTTAAATGCAAATCCAAGTTTTATGAAGATAATTATATTTATATGCTATTCTCGACTATGCCAAGTAAATAACGCAATTAGATGTCATTACAAATTCTAGGGAGCTTAGAAAAACATTTTTAGAATAATACATTTTATAAGGTACAAGAAAATGTGAGTATTTTATTCCATTAATTGATAAAAGCCTAAGCAATCAATTTTTACCCAGATAGTAAAAAATACTGATTTATTAAAACTCTTAGTATCGTGTCAGAAGACAAAAAAATTAATACCCTAATTTTCTGTTGGCTTTTAAAATAACCCTCTCCCAACTGTCTTCTACCACGCCCCACAAAACACTCTCTGTTTTAAATACTCGCTCTGGGGGGGGCACACAATTCTAGGAAAAACACCAAACAATAAGAGTTGTGGTTTTAAAAAAAATTTTTTAATAAGATGTAAAATAGATTTTACCAAAAATGACAAATCGTTATTAAAGGCTTCAAATTCATTTTTATATCTCCAATTAATTATCAATTTAATTTTAAAACATATAACCAATATTAAAATACAAATTCAGACCCAAAATTACTATTCTTTCACGAATTTGGGGAATTTATAAAATTTAAATAAAATATATACCAACTTGAAGCAAAGCATTTCATGAATAAAGTCTCATAAAGCCAGTTACCTAAAATAAAAAAATTAGGAGCTATAAACTAGGAACTACTAAGACCTTCTTTTCATATGCAAAAGTTGGGAATAAGGGAGTATCTACTCCCTCCCTACATATACACACAAAAGCCTCAAATACCTAAAAAATAGCTATAGACTTGTAGAAAGCTGGCTCCTACTTTGCAACCACTTTCAAACAATTAGCATCCTCCTTCCAAAAAAGAGCTTTGCTAAAATTTCTATGGTGAGACTTGAGACACATGTATGTCTATATTATTATGTAGTCTAAGAAGAGGCAATGATTGCAAGTGAAAACATTGAGATATCTGACTGAAAGTGGAAAACTATTTATTTAATTTTTGCCATGTCAGGACAACAAAGCAGCCCTTTTATGTGACCACTCATTAAAAGGGCATTACAAAACATTAACATAATGTAGTAGCCCATACTTTCTCTCAGGCATTTTCAAAGGGCATCTCAGACCTACAATGTCTTCTATTGAGTGTGCAAGTAAACAGAGCTATAAAATAACTAGCGAGGCAAGATACTCAGGGTTCCCTTTTTATTTCAACATTAATTTTCATGTTTTGGAGATATTCTAAATTTAACATTCATAGATACATAGTATTTAAATGTTAGGATATCATGGTACTACCAGCAATTGTGGGTTTAATAGCTAATATCAAGCAAATTATTTCTAACGCACACAACATAGTTCGGTAGTATATATAAAAGAAGGTGGTCTGAATTTTGCCCTCAAATGCACAAAAAGAATTTCTATATACCACCTCAAAGTAGTCTTTGGCCTTGCTGAATATTTATAGTTGTTATTTTACTGTGAAGCAAAATAAGCCTTCAAGTGTCCCTTACTTGATCTCAGAAGGTCAAATTCTCTGTCCAAGAGCTCCTCTTCTGTTAACTTGGAGAAATTATCCTCTCCAAAAGGATTCCACCCTGACATATCAGGAGGGTTACTGATGTTCTTCTGATTTGGAAAATTTGCAGTTGTTTCTTTATCAGCAACTGATCTACAGTAATAATTAAAAGGAGGAGGGAAACAACATGTTAGAATTAAGAAAAATTAGTGCTCCAGTATGTTTAGAAAACCAGTTCTTTCAGATGGTGAAGATGGCAGATAACAGTACACGCTTTAGAGGGAGCATCTGGATTTGAACTCAAGCACTCCCACCAGGTCACTAGCTATATACCTTGCGGCAAGTTCCTTAGCCTTAGTTTGCTCATGTGTAAAATAAGAGTAACAGTACCCAGCTGAGTTTGGGGTGAACTTAACAGCAGCTAACAGCATCTCAGGGTTCCTGCGATGAGTTAAGTGGATTGGTACATGTAAAGCCTAAAGAGAACAGTGTCTACTACAAAGTAAGCACTCGGTCAATATTAGCTAGCAGAGGGCTTCAAACATTGTTTGAAAAATTCCATCATCTTTTTACTCTATTTTTTCCACAAACTTTTTGAAATCCTCTTGTATTACTATGAAGACAAAATCACTATTGAATAAGGTGATTTTATATACTAATTCTATTTAGGTACTACTGTAAGTTTCATTTTGAGAAAGCCATTCCCTGCATATGTTGTTGTTGTCACATGTTGTACAGGGTTTCTGAGGAGCAGCTGGTAGGTCTGAACTGCCAACCTTGTGGTTCACAGTTCAGTGCTGATCTTAACTGAATATAGTTATTGACAAAAGATAAACTTCTAGGATTGCTTCATAAATTACCCAAATCTAGGTATGGGTTAGATTCTAGTATGGTACAGAAGGACAAGCACTGGACTACCAACTACAAGGTTGGCAGTTCAAACCCACCAGCGACTCTGTGGAAACCCTAAACAGGGTTGCAACAACTCAGTGACACTTGACAACATCAGATAAACATTATTTTGTATATATTATAGGACTCTTGACTTTTTAAGAAGAGAAGAGAGTCTAACGGTACTACTTAAGTCCAAAGTCCTTTGGAATGTATTCTCTTTAATCTAGCCTAGAAAGCTATCTTAGCAATGAAGTGATGCAACAAAGCTGTCAAGTTGCTTTAATAATTCACATCGAAATCCTGTAACATTAGTAATAGAGGGAGAATCTGTATTTGCAATGAGGTATCTTGATTTTGCAAGCCCTCACTCACCTCATTAAATTTACCTTCCCCTTGGATGCTCTCTAACATTGCCACCACACAGGGGACAAAAGTTGTCCACTGAATCCCCTATTCCAAGCTACTCAGTGCAGCTAAGTTACGAAAGCGATGTTTAAGCACTCATTGAAGGCTAGAGTGTAACAGATAAAAAATAAACATAGTAGTTGGCCTACAAACAGATCATCATGCTTAGTTAAAATAACTGATAATCTTAATAATAATTGTCACTCAGTGTAGAAACCACTGTAGGAATTCTGATGAAGGTCTAAGTTGGCCTCAATATGATAGCGTCTCACCTCTAATTTCAAAAGTAACTTTCAAAGACTTTCAGAGGACTTAAGACACAGATCAGATAGGATACAACTCAAAGATATTTCTCCTTGTGGCTACCAATAATCCCTTTTAGAATTTTCTGACTCCCCTAATGTGGCAGTGTAGGTCCACAGCTTATCCTACAGTGCCACACCAGAGGAGTTAACCACACACTGAACTATAAGTTCAAACTCACCAGCTACTCCTTGTAAACCCTATACAGGGTCACAATGAGTCAGAACCGACTTGATGGTCTTTAAAAACAACATCTAAAAAATCAACCTCTTCCCAATTTCTGGAATGAACTTTTGTGTTCTTCTTGGTTTTAAAATATTATCTACAAGTTCTTTGACATTCCTCCCTTAAAAGGTGGGAACAAATTCCCTTGCCCTTGAATATGGGCTAGATCTAGTGTCTTACTTCTAACAAACAGAATTTGGTAGAAGTCCACGCATGTAACTTCTGACACTAGGTCATAAACATATTGCAGCATCTTCCATCCTGTCTCACTCTTGGATCACTTGTACTACAGAACACAGAATAAATTATTCTTTTGTCAAAATAGTTTTTGGCCTTGCTAAAGAGCAGTCTTTTGAAAAGATCCAGGTGCCAATGAACTGAAACGTCTCCTGCCCAAAGTCATGTGAGTGAGCCATCTTCGAAACAAGCCTTCAGAGGACTGTAGCTCTAGCCAACACCTTGACTAGAACCTCTTAAGAGACTCCCAAACACAACTAACTAACCAGCGAACTTAACTCCTAAATGCCAATTCAAAGAAAGTACGTCAGATATTTACTGTTGTTTTAGATTACAAAATTTTGTGGCAATTTATTATGCAGGAAAAAAAAAATTACTATTACAATAGGGTAATCATAAGAAATCAGATCATGTATTTTAGCTATTAACTAGATAGAATACAAGACAGTGATATTCTCCAATATTCATAATGCTGTTGTTGCAACCCTGTATAGGGTTTCCAAAGAGTAGATGGTGGACTTGAACTGCCAACCCTGTAGTTAACAGTCCAGTGCTTATCCTCCAGTGCCACACCAGTGAAAAGATAGTAATTGTAGCCAAAGATAACATGGAAAAGAAAAGGAAATAACTAATTACTCTAACCAAGACCTTATCCATCTGTACAAGGAACTAGTCGGTTTCTTATCTTTTACTCAAGTATCCCTTAGACTTTGAGCCAAATCTTTAACCTCAAATCTTGTCTTATACTGAGTCCATCACCAAAAAGGAACTTTTACTTACAATGATCTTTTTTAGTTGTTACAGAAGATATTATACTTAATATATAACTCTTGATAAAGTTTGATTTTAAGTTTGGATAGAAATTATCAGTGAAGTAGCACTGAGGTACGAGTGAGACTTGAACAGAGTTCCTATGAGGAATTCTGTGTTTCTGACCACTAGCAGTCAAATACATAATTATTTCCATCCAACTGACCATCACCTCTTTCCTGCTCCAAAGTGCCATCTTTTTAAATATATAATTCTACAGGAGTGGTGCAAAACAAGTGAGGTATAGAAAATGATTATTTTAATAGCTAGACCAATTAAGAAAAACAAAGCCAATTCCTATGAAGCAGAGGTGAAATACATATTTCTACAAGCTGCTGTATGTACCACTCTATTCCACCTCTGACACAAGCCACTCACCTTTCCCTCAGCATTTTCCCTCCCGTTTGGATCTGATGTAGTCTCACAGAACTCATGGACTGTACTTACAGTTAAAGTGTTTTATTAAGAAGCTTCCATGAATGGTAACAATAGAGATGGGGTTACAGTAGGCAGTACTACGGTAATTCACAGGAGTTATAGGCTTTAGCACATTGCATGCACAGGTATGCTTCAATTCTTTGGAAGTGCATCATCTTTTAAAATGAATCAGAAGATTAGATGGTATATGTGCTATATGGTACACTACTATGAACTCTCTCATATTCATTTCAAATTCATCACTCCAGTCTCAGAAGTGACACTTTATTTCATTTCTACAAGTTGATAATCCTTTAAAATACAAAGTATACATAAATAGATATGCTGTATTAGATAAGACAGGTATTGGTGTAGCACTGTAGGATAAGCACTGGACTGCTAATCTCAAGGGTTGGCGGTTCAAACCCACCAGATGCTCTTCGGAAACCCTATATACAGGGTCACTATGAGTCGGAACTGACTAGATAGCACTTAACAACTAGTTGTTGTTTATTTGATGCTAGTTAACATCAAACATAAAAAAAAATCACCTAATTAATACAACAATCATATCAGTATCTTAAACTAAAAAAAATAACATAATATCTTATTTTTCAGTGTATAAAATTAGTCTGTCCTTATCATTGGGAATATATCTTCAGGCATATATTTTTTTTAATTTATTAGATTACTATTTGTATTTCAGTTTATACTTTAGTTGTTTCAGTTTCTTTTAAATTTATGTTATTCATTTTAATTTTGTCATCTACAATAATTCTGTGAGTTTTGTTGTTTTTTAAGTAACTCCTTTAAAGAAAAAACTGTCATGTGAATAAAGCAACAAATACAATGGTGGTGGTGATAATTGTGTGCCACGGAGTCAGTTCTGACTCATTGCAACCCTGTCATAGGGTTTCTGAGGCTGCAAATCCTTAAGGGACCAGAAGGCCTCTTCTTTCAGCAAATGAAAAGTGTTTGGCAAATGCAGATCTGAGCTTTTAAAACGGTCTTTGAACATATGCAACACCCTCCACTTAGACACTTATCCTAATTCCTACATCCCAATTTTACTCCTCTCCCCTTCCTTTCCTGCTGTCCTATCATACACACACATAAACAAGATTGGGAGCTGTTCTACAGCAAACTGAAAACGTTTATATTCTCTTTAAGATGCAGAGTGTATATTAGCATGTTAGCGCTAATGTTTCAAATCCTGAAGTAGTGTCCTGTGACAATTTTATTAGTTTTCCAGTACCCAAACTCCAACAACTATCTCCTCCTATGTATCTGTAAACATTAAGAAAAATTTATAATATCAATCATTAATTATAAGATCTTGAAACACTTACCATACCTTAATTTGTGAAAATCTGTATCCTAGTTCTTTAATTTATAGTAATACTTTGAATAAAATTGTCCGTGAAAAAAGAACATTACTGGTCAATGCACCTGAATTACCAAAATACACTATTACCCAATTATACTGCAGTAACAATAAGTTTCATCATCTTTAAAGAGAAGCAAATGATACATTAAATGTTTTGTACCTGTTTGAATTGGACCAAATTAGATTATGAGTGTTGTGAAATTAACTGAAAGTAATTACATTTAAGTAGGAAAAAGCTAAATTAACTTGCTTTAAGAGGACTTTTTTAAACTAGTATAACATCTTGTTAAGGTTTTTGTTTCTATTTAAATTACAAATTAAGCCTTCACATGCAAGCCAGTAAATTTCTTATCTCTAAATGTGCAATTAGCAGTCTGCAGAATTCACTGATGGGAATGGAAGGATGGAGATGCAGGGAGACAATGAGAGAGAATTCAGAGAAAAAGAGAGTAGGCTCTACAAAAAGATGGACTCTCTTTAAGCTAATACAAGAGCCACTTAATGAGTCCACTCAATGATTCACTTCCACAATAATTTCCTGTGTATTCCTAGAAAAAATACTTGCCTATTGCCACTATAAGAAGAGTCCACAATGGTTCCAACCTGAGCTGGAAGTGATGAAGGGTAGGATATTAAGGCTGGTGAGAACTCTTGAGGGGATGTAAGATATTCTGGTGATGCTTGCTGGTGAGACTGCTGATGTTGAGCTAGCATCTGCTGTTGTAAGAAAGCCTGCTGGTATTGCTGCATCTGAAACAAGAAACACCACTATATAAAACACTTCTCAAAGTCACTAAAGCAACCATAAAAGCGATTTCTATCTGATAGAGCAGCTCTGCTACTAGAAAAGTACAGCAAGATTAAATAAAACTATTGAAGAAGCTGTGAAGCCAGGCTGGATCCATTCATTAAAATGCTCTAAGAAAGAGACAATAGAGTAGCTTAAAATCACTGGTATAGGAATAATCGTTTAAGGAAAAAAAAGATCAAACTTTTCTCTGAAGCTAATGCGACCTTCCTCTGGGTTTCAGTTTCCTTGTGTGTTAAGTTTTTGTTTTGTTTTTCCCCCTCTCTCAACAGAATGAAAGATACAAGTGACAAAAGATCACAGGTCGCATATTTCTATTCTAGTATGACTCAACCAACTATAATGTGCCAAATTTAGGTTCTGTAGTTCAGCCAGATTTAAAGATGATTAAAAATATATCAGTGACTGGAATAAAAAGGCGTCAATTCTCTAAATTGAATAATTATAAAGAAAGGATTGATAATGATTAAATCATGCATACAGTTAATTCAAACACACTATAGTTTATACTTACAGATAAACCTCTCAAAATTATCTATCACTTACCATTGTAGGATACTGTGATGCAGAAGGCTGCTGCTGATACACTGAATGCATTAAAAACTGTTGCTGAAGTATTTGTTGCTGCTGCACTGCATGTTGATACTACAATGACAAAAACAAACAAATCCATCAATATCAATATCCCTCATGCCTTTTCTACTCATTTTTCTTCTTTTTTTTAGGTATTGATCTTAACATAAAAATGACTTGGGAAGTCAGTAATTCAAACACCAATGTAAAACAGGTATAATCAGTAAAGGATTATAATACTTACTGGAGTTGGTTTCAAATTATCAACAAAACATGGAAAGAGATTCAATTAAAACTGTTCTGGGAGAAGCCTAGACTCCTTCACCTCCTTCCTAGTGAATAAACATCCCTGAAGTGACAGTGTCCAGTACAGTACATTTCCACTGTTTCCTGTATCTTCCCTTCATTGGTATCTTCTGGCCATACCACCCTCCCTTCATCCTAGGTCTAGTCAAGATCAGAGGATGAAGATACCAATGAAAAGCATCATGCATATAACTGGCTCAATAGTATAAGGGTGAATCAAAAAGTATTGCTACTAGGATTCTAGTTCATCCATGCACAGTTTTTACTAAACTAAGTATGTTTAAACATGTCTCTGCAATCAGTGGATCCGACAAGTTCTCTAAATAATACACTTGCCTTAGTCTCATAACAAGGACTTCAAAACAAGGTCCAATTAAAACAGTGGCTTCTGAGGGTATCTGCTGGACCAATTAAATGGAGGTAGAGGTCATTTCAGAAGTTTACGTGACTATGATTTGGGAGCCCAAAGGGGTAATCTTCATGGAGTTTCTCAAAGGACACAGAATAATCATAGGGCTTATTAATAAGCTATAAGAAGAGAACAAAGAAGACGGTGGATCGGGTAGAAATGCAATAAGGAGCTCCGTCAGCAACAACACAGAATACAGAACACCAAGCAGGCTCAGAGGATGGTCCCAGAACTCTGAACCACATATAAAGGAATATTTAGAAGGTTGGAAAACATGTCTCTGATCTACTGATGGCAGAGACATGTTTAAACATATTTAGTTTAGAAAAAACTGTGCATGGCTGAACTAGAATCCTAGTAGCAATACTTTTTGATTCACCCTTACATTATTGAGCCAGTTATACAGCTAGGAGAATTTGTACCAGAAGCAAGAAATCCATTGCTTTCTAATTCAAGATGCTCAGCTGCTCCAGGAGCCGCCATCTTGGATGAGACCAAGCGGGGGAAGGATCAGAGCAGCCATGGACGCTCTGATAAAGGTGTGGACATTCTTTTATTTTGGTATCTGTTCATTGATCCCTTGCTGTTGGCACACCTCCATTCTGTGACTATAGGGGTGCCTGAGGTAGTGGATACCCCAGTCCCACACTCGGAGGGTTCTACTACGCATGCACAAAGATCTCCTCAAAATTTAAAGAGAGAGTTTCCACTTAAAACCAAACTGCAGTGCAAAACAGCCACAGCCAGCTCTGAACTGTTTATAACTAAAAAAAGGCCTGAATGGGGATTGTGGAGTGGGACAGGCAGACAAAAAAAGGAAATAGGCCGAAAATTAAATCCTAAGTTATGTCAAAATGACCAACAGTGGCATCTTGAAACTTCTCAGGAAGAAGAGTGAAAAGGAAAGCCCATTTCATGATCACATCTACCTGAAGGCAATCAGAAAGTATAAAAAATACAAAATACACACCCATCTAAGTATTAAGGCCACAGATAACCCCTAAAGATGCCTAAAAAGCAGAAGCAGATGACCATATCTGCACATGTCCAGAAATGAAATAAAGTGACTGAGGCAAATGAGTTAGAAGTAGACCTACAATTCATACTGGAAGATGGGCAGTTGGAAATGCCTGGGAAGGAATTCAGAAAAATGATTATAAAATGTATCAAAACACTATATAATGGAGTTGAGAAAAATAAGGAAGAAGTCAGGAAAGTGCGACAGGAACAATCAAATAAGAGATATACAGCACTGGAAACAATTCAAAGCCTACAGAAAGAGGTCCAAATGATTAATAATAGAGTATCAGAAATGGACAATACACTGAAAGGCAAAGGAGTAGAACTGAAGAGATAAAAGCCAGAACTAGTGAGCTATAAGATAAATCTCTCAACACTACTAAGATAGAAGAGCAAATACAGAAAAGATAAAAAAAAACATCTGAAGAAGGCCTAAGATTCATGTTGGATAACATGAAGATATGTTGGATAACTTAAGAATTATTGGCATTCCAGAACAGGAACAATCACACAAGTCCACAGAGGAGATAGCTGAAGAGCTTCTGGAAGAAAATTTTCCTAATATCCTGAAAATATGAAAAGATAAGCATTCAAGAAACCCCTGGATAGATAGACCGTAAAAGACATTAACCAAGACATATAATAATCAAGCTCTCTAAAATCAAAGATAAGGACAGAATCCTGAAAGCAGCTAGGGAAAAGAGAAGTGTAACATACAAAGGCAAGCAAATCAGATTAAGCTCGGATTTCTCAACAGAAACCATGCAGGCAAGAAGGCAATGGGGAGACATATATAAAACCCTGAAAGAAAGAAACTGCCACCCAAGAATCCTCTACCCAGAAAAGCTGTCAATCAAATATGATGAAGTAATCAAAACATTCCAGGATAAACAGAAGCTAAGGGATTTTGCCAAAGTCAACCCGGCTATGAAAAACATCTTAAAGGAAGTTCTGTGGACTGAGAACCAACAAGAATAGACAACAACTACAGAATGACGTACGTGGCAGCATCACCCTGAAAAAAAAAATTTTTTTTTTTTTTTTTTGATAAAGGAAACAAGGGCAAATTGCTTCAATTTGAGGAACCTGACCTATACTCAGAGTGGTATACCAACAGAGAGGGAAAGAGTCTTCACATCAAATATCAATGCTATCCCTTCTGTACACATAGGGTAGATAGGGACGGGCAACTTAGAAACTGGCTATCTAAAATGAGGGGGCAATAAAGGCACGAAGTGACTGGCTTACAAGGTTTCAAGAGGGAGTTTAGTTTAAGAGTATGGGGGGAAGAAAGAGTTCCCACTGAATAGCTGTCATCTCGTCTAGATGGGTCTGGTGAAAAGAGATGGGGATAAGATTTGTAAGATTCATTAGTGAATAACTGTTATCATGACTAATTGCGACTGTCACAATTGTAAAGATAGAAGTTTTGTAACAAAAACAGGGGAGTGTTTAATCTTACAGTCCAAAAACAGAGGACCCTAGACCATCAAGAGAGAAGCGCACAAGCAGAATGTAGGACTTTATCCAGAGAAGCAACAGCGCCAGAGATGGAGGCAGAGATGGGGGCATGGAGAGGGGGAGTGGTGGAGGTCTCTAGATTCATGGATTAAGAAGAGAGGGACTAAGAGCTGGTGGCCAGGAGGCAGACTTGCAGAATGTGCCCTTTGGAGATGTAAATTATTATATATGCCTGAGTGGTTTTATTGTTTGTTTTTTAAAAAGCTAAAGTGAATAGAGAGAAATACTGTTAACTGATGGTACATGGAGGGGATTATAATCATTGTAATGAAACAAGGTACATGATTTGTTGAATGTAAAACTGATTATCTGCCCTGTAAACTTTCACTATCCACAATAAAACCTTACATTGAAAAAAAAAAAAAGTTGAGCTCCATTAGATTTATAAATGTTGATATCCAGACCCCCACACAAAAAAAGAAGTTTTAAGAAAATGGACTACATTGGTGGAGAAAAGTCTAGGAAAGCTGTGTCCATTTTTTTCCCCATCACAACTGTTGTTGTTACACAGCTCTTCCATCTTTGAAGGTAAAGCAAGGGTTGTCCTATGAGACTCTCCTTGGGAAATCTACTCCACCCACCCTACAGTCCTGGATCTTGCCCCTTCTTTCTATTATCAAAGAACAATGAAAAGGAACACAATCGAGTTCCTCAAGGATGCCAAGACTGGTATAATTCCAAAAGTGTGGAGTTCTTCAGGGAAGGGCTAGAGAGATGAAAACACAACTTTCAGAAGCGCACAGACCTTGAAGGAGGATATGCTGTGAAAGAGTAGCTTCACATTTTGACATTTTTGTTTCATAAAAACTTCTAATGATTTTATTTGTTGACTTAATCTCATACTGAAAGTAATGATAAAAGGAAGAAGATAACAGTAGTTATATTTTAAATATTTCCTGGAAAACTAAAAATTTGCAGGATCTGATGAGGCAAAGGACAGAACAGAACTTAAAGCTCATTTTTCTCTTATGTCCCTCCAAATTCTAGTCTCCCTTCTACCAACCAAGGTAATAAAAACAAAATGAAAACCGAAAATAAAAACAAAGACTCATGACAGTGTCTCATTTCTGAAGAACTCATGTATCACTTTTCATTATCAGTCTATATAACTGAGCTCAAAATGCAACCTCAAGCAGGAACATCACAAACTGCAGTGCTTCATCATGAAAGCCAAAGGATTAGAGGAATAGTCATTGTACCACAAATCCAGAGGCAATCTATTTCACAAGAGCATTCTTAAATACATCAAAGAATGCAAATCAGATATTCTTTAAAAACCACCTAGGAAATTGTACAAGGTATTTATTTGAATCTAGAGTCCACGGTACTCATGATATAAAAAAGAACTCACTGATATTCAATTGCTGCAAGAGTTTTTACAACAATTGTTGTTGTTACGGGCCTTTGAGTTGGCTCAGATTCATAACAATCTTGTATGGGGTTTCAACAATACTTCCCACACATAAAGTAACAAAAGAATTACCTGCTGCATATAAGCATCCTGAAGTAGTTGCTGCTGCTGCTGCTGCTGCTGCTGCTGCTGCTGCTGCTGCTGCTGCTGCTGCTGCTGCTGCTGCTGCTGGTGAGAATTCCGATGCTGTAAATGAAGCTGCTGCAATCTCCAATCTCCCTGTTGTAGTTGCTGAAGTACTCTATGCTGCTGTGGAGGTTGCTGAGGGGGCTCCTGACCCAATAAGATTTCTGGGCCATTTCCAGATCTCAGTGCTCCTAAAATAGGTTTCCAAAACTTATATGAACCTACTCATGATTTCAATAAAATAGCTCAATTTCAAACAGTAATTTGTATAACATTTAGCCAAAGTATTTATATATTTATAATAAAGAAACTTCCATCTGTATCTACATGCAGTAATCCCTGAATTACAAAAGTGATGAACAACTCCTGTTGCCGAATTTTAAATGAGCCCATTTCCTCAGAGAAATGGTTTTTGATAATGTGAATCAAAAGTCTGTTATAAAGATGTTAATAATGTAAATATTGAAAATAACCTAACTGGTCAACAACACAGATATGGTTACATGTTGTTGTTGTTGTTGTTAAGTGCCCTTGAGTTGGTGCCGATCCATAGTGACCCTGTCTGTATTGGGTTTCCGAGGAGCAGCAGCTGGTGAGTTTGAACCTCTGACCTTGCAGTTCAAATCAATTTTGCAGTCCAGCACATTATCTTACAGCGCCTCACTATTACATAAAAATTATAAGGTAGAACTGTGTGCATTATTGCATATAAGAATATTTTTAAAAGCTGGAAGGATGCACATTAAACTGCTGCAGGCTAATTTGGACAACAAAAGAACACTTTTACATTTTTCTCTAAATACTTCCACACAATCTGAGTATTTTAAAAAAATGTATTAATGTGTCACTAATGTGTCACTTTCTGTATAATCCTTAATGAGGATAAGCAGGTTAAAAGAGATAGTCGGGGGGAAAAAGAATATTACTTTTCTAACTTAAGCTGGAAGCGTGTGAGAAAGAGGACAGTTGCCCCTGACATTGGGAGCTGGCCGAGCACTCTTAACTAGATGCTAAATTTTCTCTTTCTAAACTTGAACAATTTGATAAAGCATCAACATCAGGCAAGCCACTCTGCGATGGTGAAGGATCAAGAAAACAAGACCACACCATAATCGTGTCTGAACAGAAAAGACCTTGGGCACTGTTTAAACCGCTTCTCCTTATCTTGTCTGTTTTATAATATATGTTACCATTGTAGGTTTTACACTGGACTGCAAACCACAAGGTCAGCAGTTCAAACCCACCAGCTGCTCCTCAGAAACCCTATACAAGGTTGCTATGAGTCAGAACCAACTTTACGGCACTTAACAACAAGCATTTATGAGTGAGTGCTGTTTCTTCACCAATTTTATCTTTAGTCTCTATCCTACTTCACTGTGGTTGTTAAGTACCATGGAGTCGGTTCTGACTCATAGTGACCCTGCACAGGGTTTCCAAGGCTGTAAATCTTTACGGGAGCAGAAAGCCTCTGCTTTCTCCAGCGGAGCAGCTGGTAGTTTTGAACTGCCGACCTTGGGTTTAGCAGCCCGATTCGTAATCCTACTAGGCAAGGTTTATTAAGCTACCTATCACAGCCTAACAGATTACCTGGCTTTCTTGCGTTTCACTGTGTTTTTTATGAATGAAAGGTTTGCAGCAATCCTGCATCAAACAAGTGTATTGGTGCAATTTTTACAACACCATGTGTTCACTCCATGCCTACATCACAGTTTAGTAATTTTCACAGTATTTCACACTTTTTTATAATTCAGTTACACAGTGGCACTACAAGAAAAGCACTAGACTGCTGACTGAGAGGTAGGCAATTCAAAGATACCAACCGCTCCTTGAATATCTTACACAGGGTCCCTTATGAGTTAGAACCAACTTAATGGCACTTAGCAACATTTCACACCTAAAAGACTATGTTGTTGATCGTGGTGTTAAGTGCCATCGAGTCGGTTCCAACCCATAGGGTTTCCGAGGAGCAGCTGGTGAGCTTGAACTGCCTACCTTGCAGTTCAAATGGCTTTGCAGTCTGACACATTAGCACACAGCGCCACACCAAGACTCCTCTGTACTAATAGACTATACAGTACAGTGTAAACATAGTTTTTATACGCACTGAGAAAACACCAAATGCATGTGACTCACTTTATTGCTATGATCACTTTAGTGCAGTGGTCTGGAATCAACAACTACAATGTACCCAAGACAAGCCTGTACTCACATTTCCTAATAGCATCCAATCCAAAGTCAAGTCCCATGTTCTACAGCCTCCCAAACACCTAACACATCTCCAAATCTTTTCAAACATCATTTTGTTGCGATGTCCCATGGTTCCTCACAGTGTGGTGGTGGTAGTTTTGAGTCATCAAGTCAGTTCTGATTCCAAGACCCTGCATAGGGTTTCTGAGGCTGTAAATTTCTACACGAGTACAAAGTCTCATTTTTCTCGCTGGAGCATCTGGCATACTCTCGACCAGCTGACCTTGCAGTTAGCAGTACAATGTGTAGTCCACTATTGTGGATTACCAAAGCTCACAGTGTGAGAAGTAATAAAACCCAACTTGTTCAAACTACAAACATGTTCCTAGTGGTTTTTGACTGGAGTACACTGACCAATGACAGATAACTGATTGGATCTCCAAGTCAAAATGGAGAGAATAAAAAGAAATTAACACTGAATGCTTATAATGAGACAGAATTGCCCTAGGTACCATACATCTTGTTATTTATGCCTCATAACAGGAAAAGTAGTTGTTATTCACATTTTACAGAAGATAACACTGAGACTGAGAAGCAGTAAAACTGGGAATTAAACACAAATGAATTTGAATCCAATACTACAACAATGGGTTTTTGTTGTATTTTTTCACTCTTGTTAATGTACTTAATTACCCTAGGGAGCTGTAGCAATATGTCAGGTTAATAAACAAAATAAACATAATCTTCCCCAAGCGAATAATTTGCTAACTGCCATCAAGTTGGCCCCAACTCATACATACCGAAATAAACCATTGCCCAGTCCTTTGCCATCTATGTGATCACTGCAGATTGGACCACTGTGATCTAGTTCTCACTGCTAACTTTGGTAAGTAGATTGCTAGGTCTTTATTGCTAGTACACATAGTATCAACAACTGGTGACACCTGTTCAGCATCACCGCATCATGCAGCCTCCACTGGCAGATGGGTGGTGGCCTTTCTTGAGGTCCTCTACATGAAAGGCCATGTATCTACCAATAAATCACCAAGGTGTCATACAAAACAGTTAACATTTCCTAAAGCTAAGGAGCTCTGGTAGCGTAGTGGTTACGACTCGGGCTGCGAACCTTAAGGTCAGCGGTTCGAAACTACCAGCCGCTCCGCGGGAGAAAGATAAGGCTTTCTACTCCCGTAAAGATTTACACCCTCGGAAACCCTGTACAGGGTCGCTATGGGTCGGAACCGACTCGACGGCACTTAACAACAACAACAAAAGCTGTGTTATGTGTAAGATATTACATTAAATAGTCATTTAATCCTTTCAAAAATACTTTGAGATAGGTACTAGTGTTTTTCTAAAATATGAGGGGGCTTAAAAAATTTACAGAAAAATGGAATTGAAAGATAAAGGAATTTTTCTACAAACTTTTTGAAGTTCCCATCAAAAAAAAAAAAAAATGTGAGAAATAGAACTCAATTCCCAGTTCTATGAAACACAAAGTGTGGGCTCTTAATTATCAGTTATCCTAACTGATAACATTTTTATTGAAAATATTTTAATATTAAAGCAAAACATATATTATGAAATAAAGTACAAAACAGGATTTATTTGAGGTGAGCCTTCAGGTTATACCTTCAGACCACTGAGAGAACCCATTTACCCTAATACAAGAGATAAGTCTTTAGGGGAATTTTGTTTCTTGATTTTTTTTTTTTAAGTACCACGTTGTACTATAACATGCAAAAGACATTTTACAAAAGGAAAACAATTTCACTGAAAATCAGATGGTTTCTGTTGCAACAGTCACATGGTTCAAGACAGACTTCTTTGATAAGGCACTAGCTTAACTATCAAATCACTGAATTTTGTAAGGCTTCTTTTCCAATGCAACATAGTATTTTTCATACCCTTGAGCTTTCTTATCATCCTCAAAACCCATTTTGGTGATTTAAGAGTATGTATTTATAGGATCTAAACAAATTGCAAGCTTTTTGTACCATACATCTGTATTGTCAATAACTTCCTTTTGCCTAGAAAAATAACTGACCTTAACAGACATCAGAAAAGTTTCTTAATGCATTATATTATCTGCTTCAAAAATATTAACTTTGACAGTAACTTTTATCCTTAGGAAATGGAACCATAAAAGATTCTATTAAAGTGGCAGGACCGTATTACCTTTTGGTCTGTGGTTACCAAATTCACTAGGAGTGGGAACTTTAACAGGTGTTGCTGAGCTTTGAAGGGTCAGAACACTGGGAGCGGCAGTGGTAGAGTTGGCCTTTGGTCTTTGTCTTGGTGCAATTGAGGTTTCTGTTGGTCCAATGGTATCTGTTATCCTACCACAGAGGAATACATTTCACTCCAAATATTGGTATTATTTCTAATTTACTCTTCTACAAAGGCAGTCATTATATCAGACACATATTAACTACAATTGATGATCAAGCAAGTCCTCCTGGTTTTCTTCTAATTCTCAATCTCCAGTATTACTTCATGAAAACAAGAAAGTACAATGAAGTGACAGAAAAAGAGTACAGTCCCAAAGACTGCTTTTAAGGAGAGGAAATGTAATTACAAAGAAGCAAACAGAAATCTTCTTACAAGGTGTTGAACAATATTTACAGGCAAGTCTTTAAACTTGTTAGAAAAAAATTTTTTATAGCAAGTCTTTAAACTTGTCAGAAAAAACAACCAAGAAACAGTCTCCATCTCTTAGCCTGTACCCTAAATGTGAGAAAGTAAGACTGACTCAGGAACGTAAAAACAAAATGAAACCAAGATGTTTAACAGGTTGAACCACCTACTTACGTTCAGCTTCCTAAATCTTCAGTTTTACTTTCATTAGAACACTGAATGTAAAATACAAACTATATAAAATATATACCTAGAAGTAGGTGGTAAAATGGTATATACAGCTTTGAAAGCAGGAGATGCTAAATAATTTGAGAAGATACAGACATTTTCTTTTCTCTTCCAAAAAAACAAAAACACAGTAAATGTTTCAACCTCACATACAAACATCTATAAATTCAAAACAAAAACATACACATCTGCTGCATTTGAAGAAAGTCTTGTCTATCACAACTGCACAAATCTATGGTCCTTTCCTAATATCTATATGCACCACAAGAGGGAGCCCAGCTAACAAGAAGGAATGGAAATTGAATAAAAAGTTTCTAGAAAATCATAGAAATGTATTATATATATACATATAAATGTATATATACAGATAAATGGTTTTTAAAAGCAATATTTGTATTTTTGATGGAATGAGGATGGTACAAATCATAAGAAAAGTAAACTGGAAGTCAAGAAAAGACCCTGTATACATATAAATTATATCTCATCTTCATGATAATAAGTATTTTCTTGAATTCAAATTATGAATGCGGCACTAAACTCACTACTGTACTCCCTAAACTCCAGAAATTGTAGGGAATACTGTGTTCAATCTTTCCATCTATCTACCAATTCAGTCTTGATGTGGTGCTGTAGGATAAGCACTGAACTGTTAACCAAAAGGTAGGCAATTCAAACCCACCAGCTGCTCCTTAGAAACTCTAACAAGATCGCTATGAGTCAGAATTGACTCAACAACACAAAAACATCCATTCTGTACTGAATGTGCCTACCTTTTTCTTGTTGTAATTAGCTCAAAAACAATAAAAAGCATACTAAAAGTTCTGCAGACTTTGTTTAATCCAGTGTTTCCTGATTTGCTTTTGCAAATTACAGCACTGTACAAGAGTAGTTTGGCAAAGTGATATAGACTATACAAAGACAATCCTGGTCCTCAAAGAATTTCTAGTACACATAGGAAAACACGGCACATGTTCAAGAAAATAAGACAGCAAAATAAACTAAGCCTAGTAAGTGCTGCCAAGAGTTCCATGAATTAACTATGAAAAATAAGATACAAACCATTTTAATATTTAACAGTCTTTTAAAATATTAGAAGAGTAGAACTGGTCCATACGGTTCCCAAAGGCTGTAAATCTTTAGGGAAACAAACTGCCTCATCTTTCTCCCACAGAGCAGCTGGTGAGTTTGAATGGCTGATCTTCTGGTTAGTAGTCTAATGTTTAACCCACTGACCACCAGCGTTCCTTAAGTTCTGCACACTACATTGCTGTTCTTGCTGTTGTTATTGTTAAGGGCCGCCAAATCGATTCTGACTCATAGCAATCCTGAATAGGGTTTCCAAGGAGCGGCTGGTGAGTTTGAACCACTGACCTTGTGGCTCAAAGCAACCCTGCGGTACAGTGCATTATCCTACAGTGCCACACAATTCTAAACACTCTACAATAATTGTGTGTAAAAGCTATTTTTCTTTTCATAAAATAAAAAATCATACTAGCTACGAACCACGGCTTCAAATTCATTTGAATTGATTCAGTCATGACAAAGCTAAATCAGAAAGATGCAAATTTTAAAAATGTTGGTAGAGTGGAACAATAACCGGACAGGAACATTTACAGGTAGAAGCCCTGGAATAGGAGACTCCCAAGAGGCACAGTGAATCCCTTAAGGAGTAAGATTCAGGAAACTGGATTATTGCTAGTACCCTTAAGAGTAATACATACTCCAAGTTGCAAGGTTAAATGCCATTTATGAGCTGGGTACAGCTATTTCTGACTATGATGACTATTCAGTCACTATGCAACACACATGCTGCCTTGTTTTCTAAATGTGAGATTAAGTTTCCAGCAGCATGTTGACCCATACTATTTCCCTTTCTGTTTGTCCTGCCAGTTCATCCATGTTTGACAAATTACAGTCCATTCTGGTTTTGCTTCATTGGCCACTACTGAGCTGCAAGGAACTGGTTCAAAGTCCTGCTATAAACTCAAAATAAAAAAAGTTTCACAAATTAGTTGTGACGTGATGAGATGATGACAACCTTCTAACAATAAAAAGACCCAGTATAATATCACTGGTTAAGCTATTGCATTTTTAGTGCTGAGAGTGAGCAGTTCAAGTGGGACTGATATCAAATCCTGTATCCAATATAACATATCTATTTTGTACTTGTTATCTAAACTCTACACAAAGGCAATAAGCAACACAACAATTTTGTGGGTGAAGCTAATAATCAATTACATTTGTTAGGATCAGAAATGAGAACTCTAACTTTTTTAAATGCCCATTCAAATTCCAGGACAGTTTTGCCTACCTTGCTTTTATTTGGCTTTTCCTAGCAGCTGCTTCACTAGCAGTCATCGGTTCAGGAAGAGATGAAGGAATAGATGAATTCTTGGAAGGGAAAAAACTTCATTTTAGTTTTTAATTACAGAAAGTTTTATTAAAAGTTATGGATATAATGTTGAACTTAAAAAAGTAATGTCTGTGAGATACTGCTATTATTTTCACCTTCTAAACCAAAATCAAACCCACTGTCACTGAGCCAATTCTGACTCACAGAGACTATAATTCTTAAAAGAAGCAGTCCACCTCATCTTTCTCCTACAGAAAAGCTGGTGAGTTTGAACTGCTGTTGTTGTTATTGTTGTTACGTGCCATCAAATCAGTTCCAATTCATAACAACTCTGTATAGGGTTTTCCAAGTAGAAGTTTAAACTGACCTAACAACAGTTAATGCAGTGTCAGACAGATGGCACTATGTACCTAAAAATGCAAACTGCCCTGCAGTGGCCAAGAGTATACTACAACTCTCAGGGCATCTCAGTGAACAATTTACATCTAAAGTACTAAAAACAAGCACACTGTCAGACTGTACTTAAAGAAGCTAGTAATTGAAAAATTACAGATCCACACATGATAAAATGAATTTAAAATGCATATTCTACAGAGGAAGCTACTTACATTGATGTTGGGGACTACACAATCCTTTTTGGCAAATTTAAATGCAAAATAGGACACTTGAAATATATCAGGTCTACGCTCTGGATCTGGTTCAAGCATGAACCCTGCAAGACAGATTATTAAAGATGTTTTACTGAACACAAAAGTTCTTTAGGGGCACACTATGACACTATATATGCAATGTTCTTCAATACTAGGTTGGTCATGATTCTGTTTTTGTTGTGTGTCATCAAATGAGTTCCAACTCACTGTGACCCTATGTAGGGTTTCCGAGAGCAGTTGGTGGGTATGAACTGGAGACCTTGCAGTTACCAGCCCTGTGCTTATCCTACAGCACCACACCAATGATTCTAGTGAACTTTATTAATGCTAAAAAAAAAATTCAGGAATTACTACTTGTATATAAACCTAAAGCATCATGCCAGCTGAAAGCAGATCAGTCATAGAAAAACTCTGTACCAGAGATATGACAAATATACCTATTCTGGTATAGTGAATTATTCAGATACCAACCTATAGTGAGGGTTCTATTCACACTATTACCTAAAATGTCTTTGTTTCTAATTCTGGCTCTCAAGTTAAGCAGAGCAACACATCCTTTAATGATTAGATATATAGCCAGGCTGGAGTTAGACATGGTATCATTTATCAACAAGCAAAGGGACCTCAAACTTCTCTGGCTCATCCATGTGGGAATATGTCTTGCTTAAGTCAGTCTGTCTAACTTTACTGATCCCATTTACGTGACAAAAAAAAAAAAAATCAATTCAAAGGATCATGATTAGTGTTTATTTAATCAAGCAGAATTGAAAATATTAATGTACATCACTGAAGTACAGCAATATTCCATGAAACTTTTGATAAGTGCTGTTGAGTCGGATCTGACCCATAGCAATGCTGTATAGGGTTTCCAAATTTATGCACCAACCACTAAAGCCAGTGAAGATGAAATAGAAAAATTCTACCAACTTCTTCAGTCTGAAATCGATCAAACATGCAATCAAGATGTATTGCTCATTACTGGTGACTGGAAAGCAAAAGT